TAAACTTTACATTCTACATAAAATAATTCGAGAAGTCAGAATGTGGACTGAAGTGAGGATCACTATCGGGGGATCAATAGAGAAAGATAATCGATGCAACTTATAACTTCTTGGAGTGTTGAACATTTTCTAGTAATAATTTTTCAACAAACTTAGATACTTGTATAATTCTAGGCAATTCTGTTGTTGAGTTTGAGTCTAATTTTTGTTTGTTCATTTCAGTTGTATTGTTTTGTGTTTTTGGTGTTTTGTTGCTTTCTTTTTTTGAGTTTGTACCTGATGCCGGGGGCGAGCAAATCTTAAGTTTGGGGGTATTTGATAACATATTTTGCACTATGATTTTGCATTAAATTTTGATAGGATTTAGGATATTTTCATACAATTTGGGCCATAATTGCTACCTAATCTATTAATTTGTCTTTGCATGCCTAAACGATGGTTTTGAGCATAATGACAGTTTTGAGGTAAATTATGTAACTTGAGCTGGAAATTCGGTATGACCTGAATTTAGAAGCTTTGGAAAGTAAGAAGAAGATCTACAACTTTCATGTTTTGGGTTTTTCCTAATTCTGACTGAACAAGGGTGAAAACTTGGCTTGAAGTCGTGAAAAGTACGGTGGGAATTGAAGAAAAAGGTCTTTGGACATGCTTCAATATGTCTATCATAACTTGAGCTTTAGACCTTGGATTGTGCTGATTTTTGAACGACCAGAAATAAAATTGAAAGGGCTACAATTCATTGTTGACACTTTCCAGATTCAGACTCATCATGCTCAAATTTGGCCCGAAATTCTCCACCGTGGCAAGGAAAAAGCTTCGCCGTGGCGAAACCTGCATCAGATGTAAAAATAAACGATGCGTTTTGGCTTACTAGGGCTTCATCCTTAAGTGAGAGAGGTATAAATTAGAGCGAAAAAGGAAGAGAAAAGCAACTTGGTTCGTCATTTGGAAGGCAGCTCTTGGAAGGAGAAGAGTATTGAAGATTTGGGCTTCAAATTAGAGAAGATTTCTCCATCTTTTGCTTGTTTTTCAATGATGAATCTTGATTCAGTTTGTTTAGTTACTTTATTTCGTTTTTGACTATGAACTGAGTTGTTTACCTAGGGTTTGATGTAACCTTGATACAATGATTCAAATTTATATGAATTGATTTACTTTGAGTTTTAATTTCATGATTGAGTGTTTATCTCTGCTTAATGACTTTTGGATGTTTGATCACCATTCAATGTGTGTTGTTCACAATGAGACTAAGAAGTGATTGTGATTGTGCCTCTTGGGAAAATACTATAGATAAGCAAACGCTAGAGATAGGTTTAGTGATCTATGAAATCTAGATGAATTCCATAAAACTTAAAAGACTTTGAACTATTAATCTTTATTTTGTTGGGTGTGGAAGCTTAATAAGGATAAGTAGGGAATGTAGCCTGAGAAGATATGTTTTACAATTTAGGGAATTCGATTTCAATCAAGAATTAGAACTTGGGTAATGATTCTATGAATTGGGTTAACGTATCTAGGTGAAATCAACACCCTAACATTTTTTAGCATTGTTTAATTAGTAAGTTATTGGGTTTTGCTTTAATTTCATTATCATTCATTTATATTTTGTTAATTTGTATTTAGTTTGTTAATTTTCCATCAATCCAATTTATTGTTGCTTCAATTAGGACTTAAACTAGAGAAATCGGTACTTAGTAACACATCCTCGTGGGAACGATACTCACTCATCACTTTATTACTTTGTGCGATTAGTGCACTTGCTATTTATACATGTTGTAGTAAATACACATCAATTATATATATTATAAAGTTTAAAATGCAGTTATGTTATGTTATGTGAGCTATTAAGTTTTGCATTAATGCTAAATGGTTAACTTCACATAAAAAAAAAAAAAAAAATTACTCGTTGTAATAGCATCAAACTATTGTAACACAAAATTTTTATATAGATTTGTAAATCATGATCATTGATTCTTGATAATCTAATGGTAATTACCATTAGGTGGCCAGATGGTAAAAGAGCAAACAAAAGTTCTATGAGCTCTTGAATTCAAGTCCTCTCAGGCATTAATAAGGGTGGTCACTAGAATTATTATCAGATTAGCAATTCTAAGCCCCAGATAATTAGTTGAGATACACATAAGTTGATTCAAACACCTTCAATGATTAAAAAATAAAATAAAAAATCCAATGCCTTATAAATTGCTTAGCTAGCATAAAAAATTAACTAGCTCTAATTTTTCATCCCTATCCGTTGGATTATATTGAATCAATAACTATGAATTTATGTCCAATTTTTGTGTTCCAATAGCTAAACTCATTATGATATAGGTGTTAAAATAAGTTCTAACAAATTTGCAATCCTATTCTTAAATCAATTCTTAAACGAAGGAATTGTTTATTCTTTCGATGATGACATCTGATTTGAGCTTGTTTGGTCAAGCTTAGAAAAATTAGCTAGTGTTTATAAGATAATTTGAACTTATAAACATTTGAAATTTAAGCAGTTACGTGTTTGGTTAAAATATTTATAAGTGACTAATAAGTAGTTAGCGCGTTTAGTGAAACATGATTTATAAGTAGATTTTGTTATTAAAATGACTAAAAATGATACTACATTATTTTATTAAATAATAAATTATATTAACTCAATTTTTTACTATAATATTATCAAAATATATTTCAATCATATTACAATATAATATAATTTTATAATTAAATAAACAAATACTTATAGACATATATTTTATTAAAAAATTATATTAATAATTTTTAGATTCTTTATATAAAATAAATTAATGAACAAATATAATGAATTAAATAAGGGTAATATGGTAATATATTCTGTCAAAGTAGTTTTTAAGCTTAAAAAAAAAAAAGTAGGTTCCCCTCAATTTTTTTTTTCTTTTAGCTTATAACCCCAAAAAAATTATAAACAAGCATGTCAACTTGATTTTAGAGCTTATAAGTTGGTTTGATTAACTCATAAGCTTAGACAAACACTCCCTTATAATTGCATCACTTATATTAGAGTCATATCATTTATAAGATTGACTAATTAGCATTTATCACTTAAATAATACCTCACACAGACAATACTACACTTACAATTCAATCTCGCATACTTTCTCTCACAACTTCGACAAGACAGCTCGCAATGAGTTTCGCTTGTCCAATTGTGGGTCTCGTCTACCCAATTACAAGCTGCCTCATCGGGGTTATAAGATAAAATTTGTAAGATTGGTTATGAGTCAATTTTTATCCTAACACTATATGATTTATTAGTTGCAATATGTAATATAATCTATGAGATAAGTTGACCAATCAACATGTTTTACTTTTGAATAACAATAATATTATAATTACAAAAAAAATTATACAAAATGATATCATAAAAATAAATAAAAGTACGAAATAAAAAGTCAAACTTATTATATTTATTTTTCTAATCATTTTTTGTCACATTACTTTGCATGAAGATTTTTGTAAGATTTATTTATAAGTATAGTAGTACTCTTTAATAATACTACTCTTGTAAAGTTTGTGTACAAAGTTAGGTATATAAAGTGATGTGATATACCATGATTAATGAAGTAAAACATAAAGTTAAATGTAATAAAGATAAATGATGTGTCATTTGAAAGCATTTTCATTTTTATATAAAAATGAGATTCTTTTAAAAAGTAATACTACACCGACAAACATTTTTCATTAATTTTCTTTCACAAACGTGACGTGTTATCTTGTAATTAGTCAGCTCGTATGGGTCCTGCTTGACTAAGCTAATTGCGAGTTGCCACATGGGTTAGTGAGAGATGTTTGTGAAACTAGTATTATCAGGGCTTTATTATCTATACTACATTATGTTATTTATTTCATTTTCATGCCATTTGTCTAATATTTATAGTTATTTAACTAAATTCTTTAACTTAAATATTGATTTAAAATGTTTCAAATTGCAGTTGAATAGATGTAAAAGAAGAGTTAAAAATTAACTTATTTTTTATGTTAATTATATTGTACGTGAGAAGAGAAATTTGGAAAAAAGAAAAAAAAAACTTGGGATGTGTATTGTAAATTATTAATAAACAAATATTAATGACATAAAAACCGAAGCCGAAGGAGTTGAAAAAAAAATTCTTATTAAGAGAATTTGTAATTGTGCGAAACGCTGATGTAGCATTCTCGTATAACTCTTTATATGATCTAATATCTTTATTATAAAGAATTTATCTATAAAAATAAGAATTCAATATACTATTTCTCTTTTAAATATAAATTAAAGAGTAAATTTACCTTTTTATATCGTGAGAGTCAAATTTCACTCTCCATTCTAATTTTAATTAATAATTTATAAGACTTTGTTTGGTTGGATTTTGGGAATACTATTTTTAGTATTCCCAAAAAAGTTAAACAGTAAAATACCCAAAAACTCATAATATTATTCAACTTTTTTTAAACCTCTTAAATTTGTTAATTTAATTAAATACCCCTAAATATTTTTAATGTTTTTGTTACAGCGACTCCGACCACCCTTCGGCGGTGGTGGTCGGCTGTCCGTATTTGAGAGTGGGTTAGAGGTGTTTTTGTTAACTTTTAATGTTTTTTATAGGGGGTGTTTTGTAAAAAAACAAACATAGAGGGTATTTTATTAATTTGTAAATCTTACATCGTAATACCCGCCGAATTCAATTTTTTTTTAACTTTTTTTAAAAAACTTTTTCTAAAAACCCAAAGTTTTGAGCCAAACGAAGCCTAAGTTTTTATATATTTTATTTATTAATTATTTTTTCTATTAAGGTTTTTTTTTTTAAATAAAAAGTATATTTATTAAATTTGAATAAAAATTTTATTTGAATATTTAAAAATTAATAAAAATGTTATTTATTTATACAAAAATGGCTATGATAACTCTATCTGGGCCGCGGACGGCAAAGAGCCAAAGACCTGATATTTCTACATTTTTTTTAACGTTTTATGATTATTTCCTAACTAATTTTGATGACACGTTGGTTTGAGACTTCGCTGGTCAGGGTAACAGGAAGTCAGGAACACAAAGAAGTCCAAGGAAAAGCCTAGAGAGTGGTGTTGCGAGATAGTGTCATGGCTTTCCAATCGCCGATAACTTCAATACCTCGTTCATCACCGTGCCTCTTTCCCTGCAAATCTCTCTTTAGCAAAGCCTCATGCTCCCCTCCTTCATTTATAAATTACTCGTCTCGGTCCTTCTCTTGCTCTCCGCGCAACTTGACGAGTGGTTCCAGTAATCTCCCCTTATTGGGGCCCAAATCTAACAGGACCGCTTCCTTTCGCTGCTTCGCCTCCGGTAAACTTTCACTTCTGTTTTTTTCTTTAAGCTCGAGCTTAAATTGTCCTATTGTATTGGAAACCTTAGTATTGCATAGTTGGGACTGGGAGTATTTTTCAAGATTTTAGTAATGATTAGTATAATTTGCGTACTCCAATTGAAAAATTATGTAGCTGAAAAATTGTATACATTTGAATGGAGAGAAAGATATGACTTGCTACTCCAATTTTTTTGATAGAATTTGTATAAGAAATAAGAATGAAAATCAAACAGTAAATATTTTGATTTGATTGAAATTGAAGATTCAAAGAAACTCTCCCGGGATTAGTATAATTCGGTAAGTTTTTCTTCAATAATCGTTCTTTGATGAAATTAGAATAACTTCCTGTATAAAAAAAAATGAAGACCAAAGTATCACCCAACAAAAAATAACAATGAAACTTGAAACATGTTGATGATTTCTAATATTAACAACTAGTAATCAACAAGTTTAACAACTAGTCATCCACTTATTTAGTTTAAAGATAAGCTAAATGGGGATTACCGGTCCCGGAAGGAAACCCATAGCTCTAGCCGCATACAAAAATAGTATGTAAGCGATAATAGCCACGCCACAATGTACATCAGAGCATTTTGAATTTCAGCAATAATGGAGTGGCGTCATGGATTAGGTTTATCATCATCGCCGTCACTACTATTTCCAGCTCTGTGTGGATCCTCCTAACCCCATCATGACCTCATTATCTTCTGGTTCGGTTTAGATGTCAAATGAGTAGAATTGCTTGACATGATAGAAAATTATTGATTTAACATGACATGTATCAAAAAATGTAGTCTTTTATTTTCATAACAACACAACATTAGCACCCCATGTGCAAAAAATGTGCACGACATCTCTATTACTTGGTTTCAGTTCTCAACTTTGAAAGAGGATTTATGCAAATTGACTTCATTATCTGTTTGTTTGATGCTCATGGTGTTATGCTTGCAGCATTGACTCCTGAGCTCAAGTCTACATTGGACAAAGTTGTTACTTCACATAAAGTGGTTCTGTTTATGAAGGGAACTAAGGACTTTCCCCAATGTGGTTTCTCACACACTGTGGTACAGATATTGAAATCCTTGAATGTTCCATTTGAAACCATAAACATACTAGAAAATGAGATGTTACGCCAAGGGTTGAAGGAGTATTCTAGCTGGCCAACCTTTCCTCAACTTTACATTGAAGGAGAATTTTATGGTGGCTGTGACATTACTGTTGGTAAGTTACATTGAGGAATTTTGTTATTGTAAAATCAATTCTATCACCATATTGATAAGTTGCATATAATCTTTATGGTTTTATATGCTATCTAGTGAATGACTATGAAACATTGTTACTGAAGGCATGAGATTGGATAGTGACTTATCCAGATGATCATGGAATGCTTCTAGTGCTTTCTGATATGACAAATAATTTTTAGTAAAGTACAACAGAGCCTTTTGATATGGAACTCCAAGAACACAAGAGTTCCAAAATGATAAGTAGAATTTTGTTTTGATGATACACAACTCCATGAATAGCTTTGTAATTTCTTTTGATGTTTAGTCTTCATTGGTTCACATGGAATGTGTAGAGAATATGACAGAATATGCTTAAAGATGTATTTTAATGGCTAAAACCTCTTTGGAATTTTGTGTTAACTTTCCAGAGTGTACTGGATAGTAATGTCACTTGTTTAAATAGAGAACCATGAGATAGAATAGGGGACTCGACATGGGTCTGACCTTAATTTGCTTGGAAATTTGTTTTCAAGGTAGTTGTCTCCTTTCTTTCCTTCACCTTCATTGCTATGATGCAGTAGAATGTAAGATATTTTGTCTCGTGATTTTAGTTTGTTTGAAGGTTGAGATTAAAAGGAATATACTTGCAATAAAGAGCTAGAGTTATAAGATTATTCATTATCATAGGCATATTACTTGGTCTTTTGACTGGGAGATCTTGTAACTTCATTTACTAACTTTTTCTATTTCTGTCATCTTCTTGGTTTTTTTTCTTTTTTCTTTCAAGGTTTTTCATCAAATTTGATGACTAAGATATTGACATCTTATAATGCCTAAATTGTTGTGAATTGAAAATACATGAGATCTGAACGAATAGAATTAACAATATATTTTTTTTTCTTATATGCACAAGGCATTAGTGCCAAACTTTTGAGGTTGGATAGAAGCTAGGATAAATGACTTCTTGTCAGCTATTAAGTTATGCAGAATTAACATGGAATATTTTTGCAGCAAAATCATTTGAGATTTGATTTCTAATTCAAGAAACAAAGAAATTATACTGCTTTTAAGAAAGTTAACCAACATTGACAGATGAGTTCTTTTTGTTCAAGAATGTTATGACACCATTTGTAGAGACTTCATGTGATGGTGATGTTGTGATTACGTGTTAAATACTATGGCCCCTGAGAGTATACCTTATTCTGTTAATTACTGATGAATTTGTATTGACCCTGAATCTTAGATTTGTGGAAGTTTGAGACAGGTTAAAGGTGCTTATTGTTCATTTTATCTGGAATGGTTTTCTATCCAGACTTGTGTCAGGTCCTCGTTTTCCCTTGTAGTTATTGGCTTCAAGCTTTTGAGCATTTGATGTTTTGTTTAATGAGCTCAAACTTTATACAGGATTATGTTTGTACATTATCAGGAGCGTATACCTAGCTATATGATTTTAGTTGGCTTATTGTATTAATGTGTCAATTGTTTTCTAAGGAATTGTATTTCCTCTACAGAGGCATATAAGAATGGAGAATTACAAGAATTATTGGAGAAGACAATGTGTTCCTGAAACATTTTTAGGTGGGGGAAGGCTGTTGTACTCTTCAGATCAGTAATGATAAAAAAGATACAGTGACTTATTTAATTGCTTGGTTATATCGAAAAATTTATTGTACTATTCAACTCATTTCCGAAGTTTCTTTTATTATTTCAAGTAAACTCAGCTCTTGCTATAGTGTTGGATGGAAAATTGTATTTGAATTGTCTAATTCCAGAAGTATTAGAATTACCCATCTGATGCTCATTTTGTTGGAAATAAACTTTTTCTCCCAATTACTATATTTTCTTATTTGAGATGGTTTAAAGTTATGAATTATTTCACTGGATAAGGTTACTCCCATTTTTTAAACAGTGCCAACACTTCTCGGGCTGATCTAATAGTACAAACTGGGAGTAACCTTACCCCTCCATAAGTAACATAGATATTCCCTCATTTTGCTTCTTTCCTTTGTGTTCACCTAATTGTCCCTCGTCTTTTGAGCATACCATCTTCGGAATTAAGTTGTATAATTATCAGTATATGTCTTACTGTATATAATTATCATCCATCATTTTCAGTTTTATCATTTCTGGAGAAAGTTTCGGTAGCTCTAGTTTTATTTAACATAAATGTAATTTATGCATTACAAGTAGCTCAATACAGAATATATTCCGTGGTTCTCCCATGAGAGCGCCATAATATAGAGCTGTCACGAACGTCTTCATCTGGTTCTAACTTCTAAGGAACACTGCCCAACAAATCAAACCAAAATTTAATTAACATGCATAGTAACAAAACCAAAAAAAAAAAAAAAAAAAAAAAAAAAAAAAAAAAAAAAAAAAAAGAAGCTAAAATGACGGTAAATATGTAAGAGAATATTATGTTATATTGTAGAATGTTAGAATTATGCAGAATGCAAATGCACAGAAGCTCAGTGCTACAATCGACGTCCTTGGTGATGGGAACGCCGATCTGAACGCCACAAGCTTGTGGAAGTTGGCTGGCCTTGTCCGGCTTGAGGCTGGCATAGCGACCGGCAGCCTCTTTCATACATCACAGGCTGCTCGTCTATCACCGGTGGTTGGAGTCATTGCTTTCAGATTCCTGACACCGTCGCAGCAGACCGGTGAGGGGCCTGGTCCGCGGTGAGAAACTCAAGCAGTGAGCGAGAGCTGAGTCAACTTGTCCGCAACTTGGCCGGCCAGGCTCCACCTTCAAGAGAAGCACGGTTAGCACCACCAGTACCGCCGCAAGAACCAACCATTCTTATCTCTTGTTGAAATTAATTCGAAACTCCTGAATTAATCTTTCTGTGTGAAGATTGTTTATGATTTAGTGTGAGATTCTACTGGTATTTATAGTGGCATGTTGCACAGAAATGGTGTGAGCAACAAGCGTTACAGATGAAAATTTGGCATCTTCTTCGTCTTTTATCATCACATGTTACTTGCGTGACCGCGGCGTTACAGTTTTTTTCTGGGAGAAAGTGGAGAAGGCCTTCGGTTATTTGATCAAGTGTTGAGGTTCGGCTGGGTCTTGCTAAAACTAAATCTTTTTAGTGCAAATTATACGAATGATGACTCGCACATTTCATTGGGTGTGGGTGGGCCTTCGGTTGGCCCGTCTGCCTTTGCTGATATGTAACTATTAGTAATTAGGAAGAATATTTCATTAATCTTCCTCGGGAACTTTTCATTTTAATAATTTTATACATAAGTTTAAGAGCCCACCCAAGGCTTGCCTTGGTGATTTTTCAATCAAAAGTTTCAAATACTACTTTCTCATCTAAAGTTTATATTCCGATCAATATGGGCGATTCTTACATTTGTGTAACCCCAATCATCACTATCTCTTCCTCGATCATTACTCACTAAAACTCTTCAAATCTTTCTTGTCGACCCTGTCAATCATCAGCAATTGAGCGATTTGTGAAACGCGTAACCACTTCTTCAAGTCAGTTCTGGATAATCTTGATCACCAAAATTCAATCTGTCACCAAAAGACTCATCGACATCCTCTCTTCAAAAGCCCTAATAGTCTGGACTGATTTTGCTCTCTGTTGGCTGTTGAATCAGAAAGTTATTCTGGTTAGTAAACAAAATATAAACTTTGGGTGGAAAAATAGTATTTTGAAACTTTTGGGTGAAAAATTCGTTATGGCAAACCTTGGTGGGACTAAACTATCCAATAAATGAATTTATAAAGTTTATCATTATTCATTATTAATTCATATGTACATTATCCCCTTTATAATAAGTAAAACCAATTTAAATCCGAAAATTTAGCTGTAGAAATCAAGTGTTGGGAGATATACATACACCCTTTTAAACAAACCATATGAAAGAAAAGCACCTTTATTATTTTGGTTCTTTTCTTTTTTCTTTTCCCTCAGTTTTATTTTTTTCATGAACAGTTGGACTTCTTAACGTTGTAGCCTGTAAAGTGTAAATAATTATGAATGATTTTATATTTGTTGATATAATAATTAATAATAAAGCTTCGTTGTCACCTTGGACCACAGACAGATCCGAATGCTACGTGAAACCCAAATCAATAAAGGCCGATCGAAATACACCCACCCATAGTTGTCGTAATGATAATTTGATATCCGAAAGGTTTGAAAATGACAATTACCCACTTTCTATCCAAATCTGTTAGTAAAATCCGTTTAAGTTAAGACAGTAAGTAATTTTAATCTAATCAAAAAAATAAACTTTAATATTCATCATTAATTTAAATTAATCCATAAACCCTAATTTTTTTTTTTATCCTATTTCTCTATTTCCTTTTTCTCTTCTCTCTTATCCTTCTTCTCATCCCTCCCTTCTCTTTCTTTCCTTTCTTCTCCGTCTTTTACCTACCCCTTCTCTCTTTTCCTTTTCTTCACCCTCTTTTCCATTAATTTTAAACCCCTAATTTTGCAGGACTATGGTGTTTCAGTGATGCTTTTTCATTCAGAATACTCGGTGGATACAGAAGTGGAGAAAATTGGTCGAGTCGTTCGAAACTTGAATCTATAAAAAATGGCAATGTCTGGAGAATGTTGATATTTTGGTTTTAACTCCTGGCATTGGTGGATTCGCAATGTAGCTAAACAACCGTAAGAGCTCTATTAACTCAAGCTAATTAGTAAAAATATGTGACCTAAAATTTTAACGAGTTTGTGGAATTTGTGCCTATTGAACCCAGATGGGATTATATTCAAACTGGTAACAAGATTCTCAAGGACATGGATCATATGTTGCTTTTCGGGAAGCATTGACTACTTGGGCCAAATGGGTTGATTCAGATGTAGATACCATTAAAACTAGAGTCTTTTTCAAGGAATTTCGCCTAATCATTTACAGGTTAGACACCTTACTGTGTTTCTTTTTCTAATTTTTGAAGCAATTAAGATGTTTTATTGACTTCATGATGTCTGCTTGATGATCAGTGGCAAGAACTGGAAAGAACCAGGAGTAAAAAGCTGCTCAATGGAGAAGCAACCAATATTGGGAACAACTTATCCGAGTGGTTTGCCAGCAGCATCATACGCGCTACAAGATGTGCTAAGTAGAATCAAGAAACCAGTTCATCTGCTTAACATAACCACACTTTCACTTGTGTTTATATTTATGGGAGGTGATTTTTTCTGGCGAATCTGGATGAATTTGGGAAAAGAGGGAGAAGAAAAGGAAAAAAGAGAAGGGGAGGAGGAAAAGACGGAGAAGAAAGGAAAGAAAGTGAAGGGAGAGATGAAGAAGAAGGATAAGAGAGAGAAGAGAAAAAGGAAATAAAGAAATAGGATAAAAAAAAAAAATTAGGAGTTTATGAATTAATTTAAAATTAATGATGAATATTAAAGTTTTTTTTTTTGGTTGGATATAAAATTATTATATTGTCCATAGTTAAACGATTTTACTAACAAATTTGGACAGAAAGTGGGTAATTGTCATTTTCAAACATTTGGGGTACCAAATTGTCTTTCTGACAAACTATGGGTGGTTGCATTTCGTTCGGCCATCAATAAAACATTAAATTTACAAAAATTAAAACAATAAAAACTAAAAATATTTTATTAAAAAAAAAATTCTTTGTATCTTCTCTTCTTTTCAACTTCAAATGTTAAACGCCATTAATAAATGCTTCTAAGACATACATTTTCAGATCTACAGTACTCTCGTCATCGTCCCTGCCGTGGCGTTTGAACCTGCATTCAACGGCTGATTGCGACGGTGAGATTTAGTGAAGAAATATAATTATTTATTTAATTGCTTTGATCAACAACTCAACGAGGCTTCCAGTGATTGATTGAAGCGTTGAAAATAAGTTTATGAGGAAGGATAGGTGAAGGTAGCAGATATGGCGGAGACCGATGAATATGATGGAGGAGAGTTTTCTGTTAGAGAAGTTTCGGCCAATGGCATTCGCATGAAAACAACTGAAGTCGAAGCCAAACTCGACCAAGGGAATATCGAAGAGGCCGAATCTTCTTTGCGTGAAGGCTTGTCGCTTAATTTTGAGGTTCGTTTGCTGCCTTCATTATTATCAATTTCTGTCATTTTTATGCTGGTATCGACAAAATGTAGATCAAATGATTTTGTATTTTGTAAAGTAAGGGAAAAGTTTAGCTATGATTTAAGCAAATCAATATTGAAGCACTCTTTGGAGCCAATGAGCTTTGGATTTCTTGGCCTCAGTTTTGAATTCGAGTTCGCTGAGCAGGTTCATGTAGTTTCTGGATTATAGAATAAATGAGCATTGAATTTTTGCTGAGAGATGGTAGACGTTGATAATGAAGCCAGTTTACTTTTTTTTAAAACTTTATAATGGCAGTTATCTGAGGCATTAGTGTACAAGTGGTTGATCACAATGGTGTATGAGCCATTAACAAATCTTGTTATGAAAGAGGTTACTTAGAAACACCTGCACTCGTTCAGAATATAATCGTGAGAGAACCTGATTATTATTATTATTATTTTAATAAGATAGAATGCAATTCAGTTAATTGATGGGTCGATTTGGGAACCACACTGAATAATTAAACTTAATCGAAGTTCTACTGGAGGACTATAGAATACAATTCTATATTGGGGTTGCTTATGGTTATTTTGGCCAATTCATCATGTACTATGCTAGTTTCAACTATTTTGATTTCATATTTTTGCCTATCTGCTTGGTCTACCCTGGGTATCTGGTTCACTGCTATAGGTACTAGCACTGGATCTTTCAACTTAAATGGTCATTCAACCAATTTGGGTTTGATAGTTAAGGTCCTATAATTGATAATTGGGTTGATACGCCAACCTTGGTATGGAAATTTTGCATATATGTAATGCTCATAATTTCCCTCTGGGCCTATATACAAATTTTTGAAAAAAGAAGCTGGTATTGCTCCCTGCTTTTTAGTAGTTTTTTTATTGATATCTTCCCTTTTTTCATTCCGAAGGCTCTATATGTGGAGGACTTTGATTGTTGCATAACTGCTATCTTTCGGTATAGTGTATGAGCCACCCCCAATTTCAGTGCATGGTCATTTTTATTCCTCAAAACTGCAGAACTCCTTCATGTCCGGTGAAAGTTGTGAACTTTAAATTATTGTTATTATTATTTTTGGTTCTATCTTCTAATATGAGAAAATCTTCTGATGTCAAATTAGACTTTGCTTAGGCATCTTCAATTAAATGTTACTCTAGATGTACTAACAACTTGTGCACAAATTTTTACTAATCCCAGTGTTATGCTTGGTTATTTTATAATATGTTTTAATCATTTTTTACTTCTCAATCAATTTTGATACATAACTTTAATGACATTATATCCAAGCTCACTAAACTATAGAGAAGTTATTTTGATTATGCCAATAAATTTACACAAACATAACATTTTTTACGTATTATATCTATAATGAGATTTTTGAATCTGAATTTTATAAGTTTATCATTATTCATTTATTAATTCATATGTACAATAAAATAATGTTACATTATTTCCCCTTTCATAGTAATAGTAAAACCAATTTAGAAGCCGAAAATTTACTGCTGTAGAAATCAAGTATTGTGATATATATACCCTTTTAAACAAACCATATGAAAAGAAAAGCCACCTTTAGTATTTTTGGTTCTTTCCTTTTTTCTTTTCTCTCATTTTTTTTTAATAAACAGTTGGACTTTTTAATGTTGTAGCCTGTAAAATGTTATGCTTGGTTATTTAGGTGTTTAGTTGAGAGCTCCTATCTGCATTCTTTGATGTTAACCTTTTAAAGTGTGTGGCACTTTGCTCTTTGGGATATTTTATCTATCATATTGGCCTGTTTGACATAAATTTGGAATTCATTTATGTTAGTTTTGTAATGGTTTTAATATTTCAGGCATGTATCAGATATGATGCTTTATGATTATTTATGGAAATATACAGGAAGCAAGAGCTCTTCTTGGCAGGTTGGAATACCAAAGAGGCAATGTAGAAGGTGCCCTACGTGTGTTTGATGGCATCGATCTTCAAGCTGCCATACAACGGCTGCAACCAACCCTTTCTGACAAGCCGTCCAGAAAGGGTCGCATTCGTAGTGACTCACAGAATACTGTCTCACAACATGCTGCTAGCCTGGTGCTCGAGGCAATATACTTAAAGGCCAAGTCTCTGCAAAATCTTGGGCGATTAACTGGTTTGTTTTTTATTGAACGACTGAACAGCAGTTGGGGGATTCAGTTCTTAAATTTTTTATAGATTCCTCTTATTCTGACATTGTTTTTGGGTTGTTGCAGAGGCTGCTAATGAATGTAGAAGTGTGCTTGATGCTGTGGAGAGGATATTTCAACAGGGTATACCTGATGTTCAAGTGGACAGTAGACTGCAAGAGACGGTAAGCCAAGCTGTGGAGCTTCTTCCAGAGCTCTGGAAGCAGGCAGGTTGCAATCAGGAAGCAATTTCTGCTTATAGACGTGCCCTTCTTAGTCAATGGAATCTTGATAATGACTGCTGTGCAAGGATTCAAAAAGCATTTGCAGTGTTTTTGTTGCACAGTGGAGTGGAGGCTGGTCCACCCAGTTTGGGTTCTCAGATTGATGGTTCATTTGTACCCAAAAATAATTTGGAAGAGGCAATTTTACTTTTAATGATTCTTATGAGGAAATATTTCCTTGGTAAGATCAATTGGGATCCATCAGTAATGGAGCACCTAACATTTGCACTCTCTTTGTGCAGCAAAACTTCTATTGTAGCAAAGCAACTTGAAGAGATGATGCCTGGAGTATATCTCCGTTCTGACCATTGGAATGCTTTAGCTCTTTGTTACAGTGGAGTAGGAGAAAATAGCACTGCCTTGAATCTGTTGAGAAAGTCTCTACACAAACATGAACAACCTGATGACCTCATGGCACTGTTGTTGGCTGCCAAGATCTGCAGTGAGGATTCTCATCTTGCAGCTGAGGGAGTGGGATATGCGAACAGTGCTGTCAGTAATGCTAAGGGGAAGAATGAGCATTTAAAAGGTGTAGGCCTTCGGATGTTGGGCCTTTGCCTGGGAAAGCAAGCTAAAATTTCTTCCTCTGACTATGAAAGGTCTTTTCTGCAGTCTGAGGCATTAAAATCTTTAGAGGCAGCATTTTCTTATGAGCGCAATAATCTAGAGATAATTTTTGATTTAGGAGTTCAATATGCAGAGCAAAGAAATTTAAATGCTGCTTTGCGTCATGCAAAGCAGTTCATCGATGCAACAGGTGGCTCGTTATTAAAAGGTTGGAGATTGCTTGCTCTAGTTTTGTCCGCTCAACAGCGATTCTCTGAGGCTGAGGTTGTCACCGATGCTGCTTTAGATGAGACCACGAAGTGGGAGCAAGGATCTATGCTTAGGTTGAAAGCAAAGCTGAAGTTAGCCCAGTCACTCCCCATAGATGCTATTGAAACATACCGTTATCTCCTAGCATTGGTTCAGGCCCAAAAGAAATCTTTCAGTCCTCACATCAGTGTTTCACAGGTTAGATTTGTAATGTCTTTCCATGCTTTTCTTTATCTTAAAGGGAAAAGATGTTTTAAATTTCTCATCATCACTGCAGATCATCACTGCATTGTTGCTATTTTTTTGCAAGCAGATGCAATACAATTCGTTTCATTAGCATAAAGCCTCTACAGTATTTCAGTATTCATTGCTCTGAGAGCAATTTTAAATGAGTAGTAGTTCTTGCTTTGTAATAGTAGTTGTACTTCCCAGTCTTTTCTTTCTCTTACATAATTAAATTTTAGGTTTTCTATTGGTATACGCTTAGTTATCGGTTCAATCTCTTTTTCTACTAAAATGGAATTAAACTATATATTGAATACTAGTGAGGTGCCTGAGTCCGAAATTCATCATTCGGCGTTTGTAATTATGATAGGTTGACGATGATAAAGTCGATGAATTTGAAGTTTGGCATGGTCTTGCAAATTTGTACTCAAAACTTTTACATTGGAAGGATGTTGAGCTATGTTTAGGAAAAGCAAAAGAGCTGAAGCAGTACTCTGCAGAAATGCTGCACACAGAAGGTAAGAACTTAAACTAAGATAACTTATGAATAAGCTTTTTAAGTTTCATTTTCTATAGGGTGAATTTTCTCTATGTTTGAAAACAAGGACTGATCACCTCTAGTTTTGTGGTACTTTTGTAAAATTTTATACTTTTGAGAGCCATCTGCTTGGAAGGTTTGGCTCAAATATTGAACAGCTTTATTTGAATTGTCCCATTGGATATCTTTAGGAACTGTCAGCACGTCCTTAATCAAGAATATAGCATTAAAAGGCCAAACCAATCTGGTATTACTTGGGTGAGCTCCATTGACTGTTTCTCTCCTTCTCAAGTACAGAGAGATGCATAAACACAGAGTGAACTGACTAGTTTAACTGGTTTTCCTAAGCTCTTGTTGATATATAGACTGCATGACCTGTGCCAGTCTCATTCAGGCATTACCAGCATGTCGTTTATTTGAACACCTCTTTATGTTGAAAAAAGAATTCTTCAAAGGCCCATTCCCTTATGAAGTAATCAGTTGGATTCATTGTCTTCTTTAACTTGTTTCATTTGGAAGATGTTGGACTGATTATAGTTGCAGTCCTGCTATTTGTGCATGAATATATTCGATGTTGTTGAATAGTGCTTTAATCTCGTCCTCTCTACATAGGCCAAATTTCTCATGTGATGAAGACTATTGTCACCTTATTTTTTTGGAATGGGAAGAAGAAATATGTATATTGTCATTTTCCATGAATTTTCATTGTTGATTTTTGTTTGTTATTGTTCCTCCTAGAATGTCATCCCCTTCTCCTTGGGCCTATACTTTGAAGATACAGATGTTTTGATAAACCAATAGGACTAGATACATTGTTAAACTCTACTCTTCTTCCTCCAAATTTGAGATATATTTAGAATTGTTATGNTTTCATTTGGAAGATGTTGGACTGATTATAGTTGCAGTCCTGCTTTCTGTGCATGAATGTATTCGATGTTGTTGAATAGTGCTTTAATCTCGTCCTCTCTACATAGGCCAAATTTCTCATGTGATGAAGACTATTGTCACCTTATATTTTTGGAATGGGAAGAAGAAATATGTATATTGTCATTTTCCATGAATTTTCATTGTTGATTTTTGTTTGTTATTGTTCCTCCTAGAATGTCATCCCCTTCTCCTTGGGCCTATACTTTGAAGATACAGATGTTTTGATAAACCAATAGGACTAGATACATTGTTAAACTGTACTCTTCTTCCTCCAAATTTGAGATATATTTAGAATTGTTATGAGTCCCTATTGATGGCAATATGTCATGGATTTAAATTTTCTATAAGGGGAGATGGAGAATGGGAAATTTAGTATATTAAATTTGTACCATATTGAGATGATAATAATGAGAACATTTCAGTAACAAAAGGCTAGGTAAGGGAGAATGTACAAAATAAGGCTATGGTTTTCTCTTGAGAGGGTAATTTCAGAATATCACTTTCCAGAAGAAAATAAAAATTATTAAATTAGATCGTCTTTTTTCCTTCTTTTTTGGTGTAAAATATGCAACTAGTATTGATGTACTGTTTTACAGCATCCATTCTTACTGGACAGAATTTGAATGTTGTTATGTTATTACGTGGTTAATGTTTTGCTTGGTACAGCATATATATATATATATTTTTTTTTTGCACATCTAATGTGATTGTTCTACTGTTCAATTATTGTTATTTTTTATGAGTGGAGATAGTCATGATACACCGTGGTCTCTTCAAGTTTCATAATAATAAGATTTTGTATCTTATGCAATTTCAACTAGTAGAGATTGAAAGTTGAATAGATATTCTATGATATTTAATAGAAATATTGTCATTTTCTTGTGTAATTCCACCAGGTGTTGTGTGTCAAGGACGTGGGAATATGCATGAAGCTCTATCTGGTTATATTAATGCTCTTTTATTGGATCCATCTTATGTGCCTAGCAAAATACTGATTGCTGCTGTGTTGTCCAAGGTCGCCTCAAAGGCATTGCCTGTGGCAAGAGGTTTACTCTCAGATGCGTTAAGGATAGAACCTACAAATACGATGGCTTGGTTTCACTTGGGGGTCATTCATAGGGATGATGGACGATTAGCTGATGCAGCAGACTGCTTCCAGGCAGCTGCAATGCTCGAAGAATCTGACCCCATTGAAAGCTTCAGCTCTCTTCTTTGATTGGCTCCCATTTATCAAAGGTTTACATTTTTTATATATGTTTACATATTTGATTCTCCTTTCTCTTAATATATGCATTGATTCTCATCCCCCCGTATCATTTTTGCAGTCAGACTTCACTTTGTGTAATATTCACCAATATACAGCTCTGGATATCTGAGTGGTCGGGGATGGTGTCGTGAATTTGTTCATGATATTCCAATATTTTTCTAATTCTTCATGCATTACAGTCCCCATGTTCATGAAAAGGATCTGAGGGAAGAATGGAGTAAGTTATTGAATTTGATCTAGGAAAGCAAGAACAGAAATGACAGGTATATCGTAGTTGCTCAATCTGAGTGTAGCACAATTACTAATAGAGAGCTAAGACGGAGTTTCTTAAGCAATGTATTGGTTGATCTGCCATTATCGGTACGCCGTGTAAATTTTGTTTTTAAAAAAGCAATTGTTGCTAAAATATAATTACAGATTTTTCTTCCTTTCTTTTTTCTTTTTATTTTTTGAGATGTATTCATTTTGTACTATTTATTTACCCTTGTTTTTATAAAAAAAAAAAATCAATTTAAAAGGTACACAATCGATTGCTCTTTTAACAGTACTGTGATATGATGTAAGATATTAAATCTTTTGTGCACGAAATTTTCCTTGATGGGTTTTATAATCTTTCCTTTTTGTGCTGCTTTATGTTATACAACTTAAAAAACTGGATGTATTTTTGTTGGCCATTTGTGTTTTGAGTTTATTTACTCAAACTGGAGAAGATTTCAAGTAGAATTTCATGAATCTGATTCTTATACACACAGAAACTGACAAAAAATGATGTATGAAGTACAAACCAAAGGTAACTAACATAGCAGCGTAAAAACTTTTGTTTTGAGTTGCTCCATAGTAATATGATGAGGCAAATTTACGTAATAAAAAATATTTTTAATTTACTTGTGCAATAAATATATAAATTCCTTAATTTACTTGGGTGAGTACGAAATTATCAAATTCCACATTCATACATCCTTGTAAAGCTATTTTAAAACGAACCTCACAAAAATATGGTAAAACCTAATTTCAGAGTAATTAACACATTGTTTACAAATAAATAATTTTTAGACAACTGACTCTTCGGTGGGAAAGCCAGACATAGCTGTTTCGGTTCATTTATCGGCCGGTCCGCCCTAAAAGGATAAGATATTATAGAAACCGAAATATCTCAAAGCTGGTTCTCTTCTCCATGAAATCAATAACAGAAAATTAAAGCTTTAACAGAAGAACCTCAGTGACCCAACTCAATGCTTCAAACTATATTCCTCAAGCCATTTATTTATGCTCCTTCAGTCAATTTCAGGTCTGTTCTTTCGACCCTCTTATTATTATTATTATTATTTTGATAAACCCTGACAAAACCCTCTTGTATGCTTTATTTTGAAAAGCCAAATTGAGCTTCAATTTTGGCTCAGAGAAAGAAGAAATAAATTGGGTTTTCTTTAATTTTTAATTCATGTTTATTTATTCTCAGCATGTAAGTTTGTACTTTGTTTGGCTTCATTGTATTATTAAGCTTTGCGTTTGTTTATAGTTTTTAGAATTTTCTATCAGTGCTTTTATCAATAATGTCTTTCTTCGTAATCTTAGATAAATTTTATCTTGTATGTTTCTTTATATTTTCTTTTTCTGTTTTTGGAGGGAGATTGAGAATATGGGTATGTTGTTTCATTTCAGCCAACAAAATGTACTTTTTAATCCTCCTGATGCCAATGTTAAAATCCGAGGACGAGTGGGGGTAATTTGTATGGGTATGTTGGCGCCAAGGAAGTGGATGCAGAAGAGGAAGAAAGTGGAAGTGTTTAATGATGCAGTTGACGAAGCCGATCAGAAGAATTGGAGGAAGCTGATGAATCAAATTGAGGAGTCGGGCTCTGCAGTAGAGGTGTTAAGAAGTCAAAGGACCAGAGGTCAGCCTCTTCCTAAAGACCTGGTTTTGGGCACCTTGGTTAGATTTAAGCAGCTAAAGAAATGGAACCTTGTTAGTGAGGTAATTTTTTTCTTTTCACATATATAGAGGCAGGAACTCTTGTTTTAGTTCAAATTCTGTCTATAGAGAATAAGGATGATAAAGGGCATGGAAATCAAATTTGTGTTTTGATAGTTGTTAAACTGTGAAAAATTACCTTTTGTGTTAAATGCCTTTTTAAAACTCATTTCATTCCTCCATGTCAGCATTGTACATACTTAAATATGTGGATTTATTTGCATCGGGAATTTTGTTGGATTTGTGAAATTAGAAACAGACTTTTCTTATATACTTATCTTGAAGGTTTGTATCATTTATTCTCTTTGACCAGCTTGTTTTGAGGCCAAAAAGCAAATGAAGTTAAGACTTGGATGATTCTGTTGGAAGTTTTCTTATTGCATGTTGAAAAATTAAGTTCTGGACCTTGGGGAATCTTAATTATTTCTTTGCTGTTACTGAACTCCCTACACGCTGATCTCCTTTGTCTGCAGATACTTGAATGGCTGCGCATACAGAGTTGGTGGGACTTCAATGAAATGGACTTCTTGATGCTTATTACAGCATACGGAAAGCTAGGGGACTTCAACAAGGCTGAGAAGGTCTTAAGTTTCATGAATAGGAAGGGCTATGTGCCAAGTGTTGTATCCCATACTGCTCTTATGGAAGCGTATGGAAAAGGAGGCCGATACAATAATGCTGAGGCAATTTTTAGAAGAATGCAGTCTTCGGGCCCTGCACCTTCTGCTTTAACGTATCAAATTATTCTTAAATTATTTGTTGAGGTAGTCAGCTCTATCAAAGTGTTTCCTCACAACTGTTTTGTGAAATGTTATTTAATAAGTAGTGCAATGGTACATAAAAAGTTGAGCTCGCATCATAGAAATAAGAAATTATGGTGTGTCATCTGATAATTTATCAAAGTGCTCATTGTGCAATATTGGGGCTAATGCAGGGAAACAAGTTTAAGGAAGCTGAAGAACTTTTTATGACCCTTCTGAATGAGGAAAAATCACCTCTGAAGCCAGACCAGAAAATGTTCCACATGATGATCTACATGCATAAGAAGGCTGGGAATTATGAAAAGGCTCGTAAAATATTTGCACTGATGGTTGAGCGTGGAGTTAAGCAATCTACTGTTACTTATAATAGTCTTATGTCTTTTGAGAATAACTACAAGGAGGTTTCAAATATCTATAACCAGGTGAAATTTCCGAATTTAATTTTAATCTTTCTTTTCCCCTACCAAATTGGAATATGCCATTAAAGTTGCTTACTAAACATATTTTTTTTCATGAGTTTCTGAAGCTTGGGTCTTTCTAGTATTTTATTCTTACCCTTTTTTTCCTTTTAAGATCTTTTTAGAACTTTATTCATCAGATATTAAATAAATGCCAACTTTCAGATGCAAAGAGCCAATCTTAGACCTGATGTGGTGAGCTATGCCTTACTCATTAAGGCTTATGGGAAAGCTAGAAGGGAAGATGAAGCTTTAGCTGTTTTTGAGGAGATGCTGGATGCTCGTGTCAGGTATGTGGTGACAGATTTTTTAGTTTTCTGTTTGTGAATAGCGAGTCCTAGGGTTTTGAAGAGCCCACTTTACTTTAAATGAAACTGAGCTGGTCGGAGGGGCTTCCTTAACGCGAAAAGCACACAAAGACACACTCACCCAGGAAGGGTCCAAAAGAGGATAAAACAAATATAGCCTCAATCAGAAATGTGATAGATTGTGTAAAATTTTAAGCCAAATCAGAACAATGGCCTCCCAGACAGGGGTCTTCTGTGATTAGTCAAAAAAAAAGGAATCTGGGTCTTCTCCAAATGCAGAAATTGAGGACAGATTGAGTGGCTACTAGATATGAGGCCTACCCAAATACATCTTTTCACTATTCTGCTATGAGCTTCAGTCTAACTCAAAAATTATTGTAAAACAAACTTCATCTTATGGTTGGCTACCATTTCTGCTGTCATCGTGATTTAGTTTTAGATGGATGTGCTGTACTTCTGGTTTCCTTGATCTGGTTCAAAATTTAGTTCTTACCATATCAAACAGTTTAATTTGACTGCTGTCCAGAACCTGTATATTTTTTCTGTTAAAATTCAATTTCTTACTATTTCTAGAAGCTCAACCACTCTTTCATTCTGGTTCTTTTTCAGACCAACCCGCAAAGCTTATAATATCTTGCTTGATGCATTTGCAATCTCGGGTATGGTGGAACAGGCTCGGACAGTTTTCAAGAGCATGAGAAGGAACAGGTACCTAATATGCAGTTGAAGTTACTATGGCACTTCGAGAACATAAATTTGTATTTTTCCTATTTTAAAGCTTATTATTTTGATCTGTTATGTTTTCAATAGTGATCTTTCATGGGCTGTCCTAATTACAGTATTCTAACCAAGAATTTTAAAATGGTTTTGTTTACCCCCCCAATCCTCATGTGAGTAGAATTAAAATGGCCTGTTGTTATTTCTGTTCTTGGGATATGACGAATGTTTAATACTGATTGAATAATCTGAAGTGTGCATCTCTAGGTTGAAATGAATATTGGATTTGCCATTGCCATGTCTACCGCAGTAATACTGTCTTCAGGATTATTTAACCTTTAATTGGAAATCACACTGCTCTTATCAATTTTTATCTCTTTGCAGATGCACCCCAGATATCTGCTCTTATACAACTATGTTATCAGCTTATGTGAATGCATCTGACATGGAAGGGGCCGAAAAGTTCTTCAGAAGATTGAAACAAGATGGAATTGAGGCCAATGTTGTCACTTATGGTACATTGATCAAAGGATATGCTAAGGCAAATAATCTTGAAAAAATGATGGAAATTTATGAAAAAATGCGAGTAAGTGGTATAAAAGCCAATCAAACAATCTTCACCACGATCATGGATGCATATGGCAAGAACAGGGATTTTGATAGTGCTGTTGTTTGGTATAAGGAAATGGAATCTTGTGGTTTTTCTCCAGACCAGAAAGCAAAGAATATTTTGTTGTCTCTGGCTAGGACTGCAGATGAACAGAAAGAAGGTAATGAAGTTGTAGGAAATTTGGATTATCATGTTAGTGAGCCTAGGGTTAACAGAGTAACTAGGTTTGTCGATGAGGAAGATGATGATGAAGATGATGCTGAAGAGGCCATTTCTTATCATGAAAGGCAAGATGAATTTATATTTTGTAGCGGTGATCAACAAAATCAAAAAGGCGTACAAACTCTACAAACGATTGATTTGTGATTGTGCCCCTTGGTATAGTTGTATCACACACAAACCCTTCAATGTTATCAGTCGCACTCTTAGTGTAAATGAAATCATCATCATTCCATTGGGTCCTAAGCCGTTCATTCTATGTAAAATGAGTCAATTTTGGCTTGTGCGTTTATATCAATATCAACGGATGGTTAAAACTATTAACTTTGTTGCTGGAGTTTTGATCCACTTTATTTGAAGCCATGAAATGGAACAAAGGATATT